CTTCCTTAAAGGTGGGGTTTTCTAATTTTTCTAATTTTTCGTAGAATTTAAATGATTGTCTAATAATGTAGTCATTGATGTTTTCGATATTTAGATCGTTCCTGAGGATTGTGTTCCGAACGAAACAGGGTGGAGACATTATTTTTGTGATCATTTTATTTTCAAAGACTTCTAACTTTTTAAGGATGGTCTTTGGTACTGTCATAAAAATGGGGTGGTCGTATAAAAGTATTGGTCTTATTATTGACGTGTAAATGGCCTCACTCATCCTATTCAAAAAAAGCTATATAAACATTTTTATAATTAGAAATTCGTGTAACTTGATTCAATCTGCTTTTATGTATTAGGTAGAGTGTTGGGATCGGTGGAAGGATGGTCTGAACCATTCGTTTTCGACCGCTATGACCCGTGATCGAATCCCGCTTTGGGCACTTTTTTTCTAATTGAAAAATGATCCAATGGCCCCTGATTCTTGCTAAAGTACAACCCCACCAGCGAGTGCAAGTACCCAAACGGGGTTCAGTCACATTTGTAAGTTCAAAGTCGAACTGCTTTTCACATGTGTAGACATGTGGTGCACTTAGAGGAAAAGCAGTCGCCTACTTCTACTTAGCATGATTATCATGGTCTGTACAACGTGTACTAGGGATAAAAAAGGTAGATTGTAAAAGACGTAACGTAGCCAGTGTTAACGTTCATACGTACTGTTACTCACATCAAGAAAATACAAAAGAAGGAAATTTAGAAAGCTAAAACTGAGTGCAATCTCTAGTAATGCAATTGTAAAACTTGTATAAAATACAAGGCTGTCCCAAAAGTTCGTAACCATATTATGATTTATGATTTTGCAAGTGTTTACGAACTTTTGGGACAACCTTGGTAATATTGGTAACTTTGGTAAAATTATAACAGAATTCTTATAGTAGAATGATTTAATCTCTGATGTTCTATTACAAGGGTGGCCAATCAGCAGGTGGGCCAAGTTTCTGAATTACCAAGGTTGTCTCAAAAGTTCGTAAACATATCATGATTTATATTTTGCAAGTGTTTACGAACTTTTAGGACAACCTTGTCATTCTGAAACTTGACCCACCTGCTGATTGACCACCCTTGATATAGAACATCAGAGATTAAATCATTCTTCTATAAGAATTCTGTTATGATTTTACCAAGGTTACCAATATTACCAAGGTAGTTCCGAAAGTTATATGAATCATACTATGTTAACGAACTTTCGGAACAACCTTGGTAATATTGGTAACCTTAGTAAAATTATAACAGAATTCTTATAGAAGAATGATTTAATCTCTGATGTTCTATATCAAGGGTGGTCAATCAGCAGGTGGGTCAAGTTTCAGAATGACAAGGTTGACCTAAAAGATCGTAAACACTTGCTAAATGTTGTATATTTAAGGCAGGCAAACAGTTCGATCAACCCGCCGTTGGACCGGCGTCAGGAACCCGTTCCCCCACCCCCTGCCCATTTCCAATAGTTGGAGGTCAATCCTCGGCGATGCGTGCAAGTTTACTTTCTCTAGCATATGTGAGCACATCCAACCGGTGCATATCCATCCACAAAGAACACAAGACCGATGGCATCATGGAGAATAGATATGGCCAGCCTACCTGCAGCGGCGTTGTCGGTATCCAAGTCTTCTCCCGCTAGAGGAGCCACTGTCGCTCGGCCATGCCACTCTACTGCCCTACAGCTCGCAGGTGGTCTGACTCATCCGTCGGTCTTCTGCCCGCTGTACGGACCAATCTTTCTTCTTTGTTTATCATTTATACACACTCTTTCCATATATCTTCCTCTTTTCTTCACTAAACTGGTGTTACTCATCTGTATTACAGCATCAGATCCTTTCTACTTCACCCAGTCATGATGGTTGTCAAGCATTACAAGCTTGATACCCTGATATGAATGAGTGGAGATAAGAAAGAAGAATACATCATTGACTGTATTGACTCATCCATTGACAAGCTCTACTCATCCCCAGCAGACACCATCAATAAGCTTTACAAGCTTGAAATCCTGATATGATTGTTTAGTGGAGATAAGAAAGAAGAAGACATTATTAACTGTATTGACTCATCCATTGATGAACTCTACTCATCCCCAGAAGACACCATCAATGAGCTTTACAAGCTTGAAACCCTGATATGATTGTTTAGTGGAGATAAGAAAGAAGAATACATCATTGACTGTATTGACTCATCCATTGACGAGCTCTACTCAACCCCAGCAGACACCATCAACAAACTCTACAAGCTTAATACCCTGATTTAATTGAGTAAAGATAAGAAAGAAGAATATATTATTGACTGTATTGACTCATCCATTGACGAGCTCTACTTATCCCCAGCAGACACCATCAATAAGCTTTACAAGATTGAAATCCTTATATGATTGTTTAGTGGAGATAAGAAAGAAGAAGACATTATTAACTGTATTGACTCATCCATTGATGAACTCTACTCATCCCCAGCAGACATCATCAACAAGCTCTACAAGCTTGATACCCTGATATGATTGAGTGGAGATAAGAAATAAGAATAGATCATTAACTGTATTGACTCATCCATTAACGAGCTCTACTTATCCCCAGCAGACACCATCAACAAGCTCTGCAAACTTGATATCCTGATATGATTGAGTGGAGATAAGAAATAAGAATAGATCATTAACTGTATTGACTCATCCATTAACGAGCTCTACTTATCCCCAGCAGACACCATCAACAAGCTCTGCAAACTTGATATCCTGATATGATTGAGTGGAGATAAGAAATAAGAATAGATCATTAACTGTATTGACTCATCCATTAACGAGCTCTACTTATCCCCAGCAGACACCATCAACAAGCTCTGCAAACTTGATATCCTGATATGATTGAGTGGAGATAAGAAATAAGAATAGATCATTAACTGTATTGACTCATCCATTAACGAGCTCTACTTATCCCCAGCAGACACCATCAACAAGCTCTACAAGCTTGATACCCTGATATGATTGAGTGGAGATAAGAAATAAGAATAGATCATTAACTGTATTGACTCATCCATTAACGAGCTCTACTTATCCCCAGCAGACACCATCAACAAGCTCTGCAAACTTGATACCCTGATATGATTGAGTGGAGATAAGAAATAAGAATAGATCATTAACTGTATTGACTCATCCATTAACGAGCTCTACTTATCCCCAGCAGACACCATCAACAAGCTCTGCAAACTTGATACCCTGATATGATTGAGTGGAGACATGAAAGAAGAAGACAGCATCAGTGGCTCACCACTTCCCTGTTACCTTGATCAATGTCTTGAACAGTCTGTTTCTGTGCATCCTTGTAGTAGGAATAGAATACCACCCGTTGAAGAGAAGAAAAATTTCTCGAAAACTTACAAAACCTAAATTAAAAGAAACTTTTTACCTGAATTCTATTTTCCTTTTGCAAATAATTTCTGGGTTACTATTTCTCATAATATCCACAAATTCAACCAAAATTTTGGAAATAACAATAATAATTTATACAGTTAAACCTCTCTATAGCGCCCCCTCTAAATAGCGCCCCCCCTCTCTATAACGCCTGATTTTAAATACGTAGTACGATGCATTTACATTAAAAGTGACCTGTCTATAGCACCCTATTTTGGTGAGTCCTAAAAGAGAGCGCTATAGACAGGTTTAAATGTATATTGAAAAATTTAGTAGTGATATGAAATTTCCAAAGCTGAATTCAAGAAGGTGAACGCTTTTCTTAAAACATTGTTTTTCTTTTTACTTCGCGAATAATATTAATACGGCGAAATCATAATAATACATAATACAATTACTATATATATAATACAAAGACATTATACATAACGGCGAATAATATTATTACGGCGAATACATAATAATACAATTACTTTATATATAATACAATTACTTTATACATAATACAAAGACATTCTATATACAGTTACGAGCGTTATGTGTTCTTAATTCTTCATTTTTCATCTCTGTCACCGTTTGCTTTTTTTTTTGGAATGGCGCTCTCCTATTGGTTGGCTACGATCGCGCCACCTTTGCCCCCCCCCCCCCCCCCCCCCCATCATGCCCCCCCCCCCCCCCCCCACTCGCTTTTTCGTTTTTGTAACTATTGTGTTGGAGCGGGTCGCTCCTTAAATAAATGCATATATTAGTTAATAACTAAATGAAATCCTCTCTTTCTTTTTCCCAGTAAGAGACGCCTACGGAAGCCAACAGTACATAGACAGATAAAGCACATAGGCTATAGTTATTAACTAACATATGCATTTATATAAGGCGCCAATTTATAATTGTAACAAATAGTATTTGAATCAAAGCATTCAATCGGGTAAAACACGGGCGTTGCCCGGGTCATTCGGCTAGTTATACATAACGGCGAATAATATTGGTATTTCAATTTTTTGCAAGTGTTAACGAACTTTTGGGATAACCTTGTAATAGCAATAAATTATTGGTTTACCAATATGGAAGAACAATTTAAAATTAGTGTAGTTTTAGGAAATAACTGAGAAAAAAGGCTTAAAATCAGTAGCTATAGTCAAATACATTTGTTAAAGGTAATGGAGGAATAAAAGAAAACTAATAAAATTCCGTAGATTCAATCAAGTGGCTAACCTCGATTCGAAAGTATTTCCACTGTGAATTGTTAAGCATTGCATCACACCATTGAGGTCATTCCCATCAAAATTACAATCAGGATATCCAAAATATTTACAATATAATTGTATAATATACAATAATTAACGGGGCATAGAGACTTTAACACATACCTATATAGAATTGATTATAATACAATATAAATACGGCTTATGATTGTAGAACGACATTTGAAAATTATCCCGCATGTGTTTCTTTTGAACGAAAAATCGTAATTTATTTTAAGGAGAAATAACGATTATTTCTAACCTTAGGGATGAAGTATGAAAGGATTAATTGTGAAGAGTAATGATAAACAGAAAAATAAAGTGTCCAGGGATGGGAAACGAACCAACAGGTTCCGCTTACCGGGTAGATGCCATGTCCACTAGGCTACCCTGGACATATTTTTCCGTTCGTAAATATTATATGAAGTAATTCATAATACAATATAATACGGCTTATGATTGTAGAAAGATATTTGACAATTATACAGAAAATGTTTCTTTTGAATGAAAAATCGAAATTTTATTTTAAGGAGAAATAACGATTATTTCTAACCTGATTGTAGAACGACATTAGAAATAACCTTAGAAATAATCGTTATTTCTCCTTAAAATAAATTTAGATTTTTTTTTTTCATAAGAAATATTTGCGAGAAAATTGTCAAATGTCGTTCTACATAATTGATTCTTCAATCTGCTTATGTGAACAAGAAGATCACAACCCTGAACATATTTTAATCTGGTGCCAACTTATTGCAGATTTGAGAGTACAATGCCAAATTAACAGTTCTAGTTTAAGTCAAATGGGATTCCAGTAATTTCACTAATATTTTTCAAATATAATTGTACTAGACGAATGGCCCGGGCAACGCCCGGGTTTTACCCGAGTGCGAATATATTTTAAAAACGTTGTCTTGGGTGGTCGCTATAGACAGGGTGGTCTGTATAGACAGGTGTATGTATCACACAGCTGATAACAGGGTTGTCTAGAGTGGCCGCTATAGGCAGGGTGGTCTGTATAGACAGGTGTATGTATCACACTGCTGATAACAGGGTTGCCTAAGGTGGCCGCTATAGACAGGGTGGTCTGTATAGACAGGTGGATATATCACACAGCTGATAACAGGGTTGTCTAGAGTGGCCGCTATAGACAGGTGTATGTATCACACAGCTGATAACAGGGTTATCTAGAATGGCCGCTATATACAGGGTGGTCTGTTTAGACAGGTGGATGTATCACACAGCTGATAACAGGGTTGTCTAGAGTGGTCGCTATTGACAGGGTGGTCTGTATGGACAGGTGGATGTAATACACTGCTGATTACAGGGTTGCCTAAAGTGACCGCTATTGACAGGGTGGTCTGTATAGACAGGTGGATGTAACACACTGCTGATAACAGGGTTGTCTAGAATGGCCGCTATAGACAGGTGTATGTATCACACAGCTGATAACAGGGTTGTCTAGAGGGGGGCAGGGAGGACACGTGTTCGCCGGCAGCCAATTGGCGCGCTTTCTATCCGTGAGCTTCAGACAGAATAAGGCAATTATATATATAGATAATATACGATTTTTACGGGGTATGGAGAATTTAACACACACTTATATAGAATTGGCAGAATTGATTCTTCAATCTGATTCTGTGACCAAGAAGATCACAACCCTGAGCATATTTTAATCCGGTGCCCACTTGTTACAGATTTGAGAGTAAAATGTCAAATGAACAGTTCTAGTTCAAGCCAATTGGTTTCCAGTAATTCCAGAAATATTTTTAAATATTTTCTAATATCCATTTGAAGGCTACCTGGCCCAACTACCAAAACATATACAGTTAAACCTGTCTATAGCGCCCCCTCTTGGAACTAACCAAAATCGGGCGCTATAGAGAGGAAGGCGCTATTTAGAGGGGGCGCTATAGACAGGTTCAACTGTATATATGTATACATATATATGCTACTAGACGGGTGACCCGGGCTTCGCCCCGGGATTGACCCGTGTGCATATCTACCCGAGTGATATATATTTAGATAAGATTTTTTTATAATTGTTTGTTATTAGCATTATCTATTTGTTTGCATCAGCATAATTTAATCTAATCTTTGATAGAGGGCGCTGTTCGTGAGCTAAGTAGAATAATTTGAATATATAGTTTTAATAATTGATTTATATATTTTTTAAAATAGCCTATCGTCATCCCCGTTATTTTTTACCTATGTATGGAAATTTTGGTTTGAATTAGTGAACTACTGCGAATATGTATACCGGACATACAAACCAACAAACATACAAACATTCATTTATATATATATATATAGATATATAGATATGAAGATATTATTTCATTTTAAAATTAGAGAATCTTTAGAATGAAATACTCTATTAAGTTGACCGCCAGACGTCAACGCTTTTCCTATATAAACATATTGTTGTTGTTTCCCGTTGGAAAGACAGGTGTTTAGTTTAATCTTCTTATCTAAACAACATCTGTCTCTCCTTTATCTTACATGGCCTGGGGAATCTAACCTTTTTAGAACAACCTTGGTTGCGTGCAGCACCTTGGTACCTTTATATAGTGTATTGAGGCTTGTCTGCTTGCTATATTCATTTTTGGGCTCAAAAAATTACACTTTGGTTTAGTAACCCGTGAAACCATATTCGCTCCTTCCCGTTGTCCGGCTCAAACATTTTTGTATTTATGTAAATACATTAAACTCTCCTATAACGCGATTAATGTGTTCCGTGTTGTATGAAATCGCGTTATAGGAATTCGCGTTGTACGAAATAAAACTTGTATAACGCGAATGTTGTTAGGGTAAATTGTTTTATTTTATAACGCGTTATACGAAAATTCGCGTTGTAGAAATAAATTTGTCGCATTTTTTTTTTATCGCGTTGTACGAAATCGCGTTGTAAAAACTCGCGTTATAGGAGAGTTTACTGTAAGTTCTAATTGGTAAGCATCAAGGGTCATTTTTATTTGAGAAATAGGTACCCAGAAATTCTTTGAAAAAGTCAAAATAAATATCAGGTAAAAAGTTTCTTTCAATTTTTTTTTTATTTTCAAACAGTCTGATGCACGCCCACACATGCCAATAACAAAAGTTTTCAATTATTTTGTATAAATATTATTTAGAGATTGTACATAGAGTATTTAGACCATTGAAGAACAGTATATATTTGCTCAAAAGCTTGTAAATTCAAAATTAAAAGAATATTTTTGCTTGATATTTATTTTTTACTTTTTCATGTAAATAAGTCTTTCATTTTCTTTATTCTACTCGCCTCGTTTGCGTTGTTCAAATTTCGGAAGACGGCTGAAGAGAAGGGGAAGCTATATGCATAATCTAATTGATGTAAATAATTATATGTAAATAATCTATGTCAGGATAAGAATGACGAATCCTGCCTGTATGGGACTTTGATTCCAGTAAAAGGCTTGTTGCTGCTGTTGTATATAGTCACAGTGTAGAAAATACTATACTATACCTACTACATATATCTCTGTATTCTTAGTTCTCTTCTCTTCAATTACTCTGTAAACTGGCGAATCCTTTAGAGAACGAGAGGTCCTCAATAAAGGCTTTTGTTGTTGTTGTTGCATTCTACTCGCCTTAAATCAGGCAATACTTTCTCATATTATGTATTTTATAAGCTTAATCAAAACAAACTAGCAAATAATGATTTAAACAGTTTTATTATTTCTAACACGACTGCAATATCACATACTCATGGATTCCAAGATCAAGCAAATGACCAATAATTCCTTTACAAACAAATAAAAGCTTATCTCAATATATGGCGTCAGATTCTGACGTTTATTTTGACGGGAGAGGCGACCATTGCTTCCATGGATTAATTTCCTCCCGGCAAATTTTCCATCTATGTTTTGCCAATAGATTTGGCCCAGCCACATTGCCAGCAAAACACCTCTTTGGTAGATTGTGAGGATTCCATTAGATCCCGTGTGGATCTCATGGAATAAAGTCCGCCCTAGACTAACGAAGGCCATTAGCCCAAAACCATGGTCTCTAGGTGGACGCTTATCAGTTTGCCAAAGTTGGTGTTGTGGCTTTGTCACCGACCCGATGCCGCTAGTTGCGGCGACGGTCAATAGATGGCGTCAGATTCTGACGTTTATTTTGACGGGAGAGGCAACCATTGCTTCCATATATAGTACCGTTATGAGAATTTCAAGATTTATAAAATTTGTTATTTAGTTTAAACATGTGAGGTTTGTTTTTTATAATAAATAATTAGTTAGCATATAGTAGTATAAAACAAGTAACACCAGCAAAACATCGGCGGTTAAGTCGACAGAATATTTACATGTTTAAAACAACAAAATTATTCAAATTCAAATGTGTAAATCTTCCAATCAAACATAGCTTTTTCGGCTACATGAACTCAGTAGATTTAGTTTAAACATATACGAATAAAGGATTACATGAGGAGCTTCTTTTTCGATTTATTGCGAGCTTTCGAACCTTTCGGTTCTTCTACAGGCATGGATAGTATGGATATACTAACCCAGTAGTAAGTTAGTATATTCATGCTATCCATGCCTGTAGAAGAACCGAAAGGTTCGAAAGCTCGCAATAAATCGAAAAAGAAGCTCCTCATGTAATATTTTATTCGAATATATATTTAAACATAGCTTTCTTAATCAAAAATAGGTCAATTCATCCATAGTCTTGATCAAGTCCAGTTGACGCCATCCTGAGGTTGGATCTCTCCAGTCATCACATCTGTCGCCCAACGCCAGCCATCTCCTGTGAATCTTCAAATCCAGCCCATCAACCTTTTCAAGGTACTTTTATCTTTCTACCATTTTACTCAGTTTCACCAGTTTTACCTTTGTAAATTCACACCTATGCTTTTCAATAGTTTTCACAAACACACACACAAGCCTTTATTAAGACATTCCGTCTTATACAGACTCCTGTTAGAAATGAATCTAAAAAGAAATGAGAAGCAGGGGAAGAAACTGAATCCTCGCTCAAAAAAGAGAAAAAGAAGAAAAGGAAAGAATATCTATGTACAAAAGACTATATACATTGTACATAGAATACAGTGAAGAAGTAGATTATTGAGTAAATGGTTGCATCTTGTGAAGAAAAAAATATTTCCACACAGTTCAGTTACTTTGTTAGTTCTTTTTTCCTCCTTGCAGTCTTGAAAAATTAACTTTAAAATAGCTGACCCTTTATCCATCAAGTCTGAAAGAAAGGAATACAGCGAAAATTGTGGATGAGCAGCTCTACCGCAAAAAGTTTCTCTTTCAATAGTGAGAGACGTACATTCAAGTGTTCCAGTTCGGATATTTTATTCCTTTGGAAACGTAGACAAAATATTTCCTCTTTATATGTTTTATGTGATTTTCCCGGTAGAAAACAAGAAGTA